AGGCATCATCACACGGAAAGGGTGGTCAAGCATTGGAACAGGCTGCCCAGAGAGGTGGGGGAGTCCCCATCCCTGGAAGTGTTCAAGAAACGGGCAGAGTTGGCACTTCGGGACATGGTTTAGTCTAGTCTACCCTCGACTGGTTTAGTGTGGACTTGGCAGTGTGAGGTTAATGGTTGGACTGGATGATCTTAAAGTCTTTTCCAACCTAAACGATTCTATGACTCTGTAAAATCTGATATTTGCGCTATCAAAGTCAAAACCTGGGTAGAACCAAGGATGAGCAGAGCCACAACAGCTCTCCACTGCTTTTCTTTTTTCCTGGATGCCTCCAACTTTCCTTTCCTCCCACGCTTCACCTTCCCTAATGCCGCTTGCTGTGCATCGCTCAAAGACAACGTGCGCACCGCTGCAGAGCCATCTGGTTCTGTGTCAGCAAACGCTTGCTGGCAGCGTGTCCCCGGGCTGCCTGGCTGTCAACGAGGATCCCACCGGTGCCTTCTCAGCTGTACAGAGCCGCTCTAGGCTGGACTCCATGGTTTCTTTCCCATCTTTCCAAGAAAAATGCCCACTGGGCACTTGTTTCCATGGCCGTTTGGCCAACGCAGAACCCTCCAGCAGGGAAGCAGAAGCATCTCTCCCCAGGGATCATGAGCGGCGTCTGGGCACGTAAAACCCATCTGGCTATCGCAGCGCGGGTCTCGGGTCGCAGGCGAGAATGGCAAAAGGGCTCCAGAGAATTCGATGTTGTCTGTGCCCTCGGGGGAGCACAATACGGAGGCTGTTCCCCTGCGGTGTTTGTTCAGATGCCAGCTCCAAAAAGCCACAGCGAAGAAGGGAAAAGAAGAGAGAAGAACTGGTGTCCAGCATAAATGGCTGTCTGTCTTTCAGAGTGGGGGGAAAAAAAAAAAAGATGAAAACTAAAGAGAAGTCCATCTCGGTGTCTATTTTTGGATATATTCATTGTGGGCCAAAATGCAAATGTAAAGAGCACGGTGTCAGTGGGTGCCAGCTGCACGGCTGCCTCCGGAGCCCGGCACCTCCCTCGGAGCCCCATCGCTGCCACCAAAGCGCCCTGGGCGCCAAGGAGCAGGGGCGTCACCTCTCGGGCAGGATTTTAATGACCTCCAGGGATGAGCTCCCTCCAGTGATGGACATTTTGTTCTGGGCTGGTCCCTTAGCCGGAGAGCAGCCTTTCCCACCGTGAAGACGCCAGGATGGAAGCTCCCAGCCTGTATGGAAGGCAACGGTGGGTTCTCCGCACTTTGGAAACGCCGCTCGCTTTGGTTTAGGTGCCTCGCTACAGACTCCTGAAGTTGTTTTAAACCAACTTGGGCCTGTGTGTGCGTGTTTGCACGGTGCGTGCAGCAATCTTGCCAGAGGCAGCCGAAGTACGGAGAGCGCGGTACACAGCTGGGATCAAAATCGCCTGGTATTAAAGGAAGCAATTGCCTCAGCCCATCATCCATATAAAACGAGACATTCGGGACAGCAGGACTTTACACTTGGCTTTCATCCTGCTCAGTTTGCCAGCTCAGAGGGTGGCTTTAAATCAAGCTTTTTAAACAAACACAGGGTTGGGATTTTTTTATTTTATTTTATTATATTTCTGCATGCTAATGGCAGCAATTCCCCCATGGATCTGGCTTTGGCTGATGATCATCCAAGCAACCGCAGCACTTTGGTGAGCACTTCGGCCGTGACAAAACATAAGCACGGGCAGACCGGGGCTGTCACGTTAAGAATTCCTTGCTACTTAATTGCTCTACTTTTTTGCTTTTTTCCTGATAGCTTGTCAAAAAACCAACCAAACTAACCAACAGCCCAGGCTACGCCTGACTTTGAGGGTAGATTTAAAGCGTGCTTGCCGCAGTTGCGCACCCGCCGAGCCCATCGCTAGCAAAGGGTTGAAATGTCAAAAGCACTGGGGCTTCTCTCCTTGTCTCAAATGAGCCCAGGGTACTCTGAAGTTCAGCTACTTAGCTGCTAAAGAAGGAATTCTGTCGAGCTGTATTTCTTGTTAGAAAAGTGAAAATCTGGCTTTGCCTAGTGCCTTGCTAATTAGAGATGCAGAGATCATCTTTATTTAATTACATGTTTTTCCATCGATGTACAATGGCCACCCAATTTGAATCCTATTTTTTTCCTAACGTTCTTAAAAAGAATCTGTAATTATGGCAATTCCTACCACATTTGAATGTATTATTCATTTGTGGGTTTCAGTCAGACAGAGCAAATATGCAAACTGGAGCAGAAGAACAAGAATATGATATAAATCCTTATAATTAGAATAAAACCCCCTCTCTGCAGATGTTTAAGTGTTAGAGTTTCACCTCCTGCATTATTAGGCTAAGATCCAATTTCCATAAAATTTTAAAAGACAGTGTCACAATCTGCCAGCTCTGGAGAAAGGGCCGAGTGCCTTGAATACAAATCTGAAGACGCATCTTTGGTTTCTGTTGCTTATCCCCCCTTGGGAATCCATGCAAGAGCAGATGTAAATAACATGCAATAATTTCCAACAGGCAATAACAAATACGAGACAAAGTTGAGAGTTGGCTCTTAGACATCTTGCTCCGGCTCACGAAGCGCGCTGCAAAAACTCAGGCTGAGAATCCCTGAGACAGCGCAGAGAGTCGGGTTTTGAGCTTGCCCCTAAAATCATTAAGGCTCCTCGGGAAATCCCGCGTAAGGCTCCTTCGGCAGGAGAAAGTTTGGCATCCTTCCCACAGAGGACAAACCTGTTTCCTTTTCCGTTACCTGAAGTATTCCAGAAATACCCCAAGCCAAACTCTTTTTTTTTAGCTGGGGCAGTGCTGCTGCAGGTGCTGGAAGCGTGTCTGCGCACGCTTGGCCCCTGGGAGCACCGCAGGACCGAGGTCCCCTGCTTATCCTATGCCTCGAGATGGTGCCGAACTCCTTAATTGTGCCTCCTTCCCCCCCTCCAACCCCTTCCAGTTTTATTAATATAGTTTCCTCCTCCTCTATTTTCCTAGTCCGTTTCTTCATTTAAAAAAAAAAAACCCTCCGATAGCTCCGTGTTTCATCGTAACATCATATGCATTTCTAAATATGAAAGCAGCCGGGCACGCTGCGCGCAGGCTGCTGCGGGTGCTCCGGGAGAGGAGGAACAGGCACGGTTCCTCAGAGGCTCTCGCTAAAGGCTGCTGGTACCTGGTGTGGCTGCAGCTGCCAGCTCCAGGAGGTCCCAGGCAGAGCAGCGAGGGAGGAGATGAAAGGCTCCTCTGCCTGCTCCAGTGCGGCAGAGTATAATATATATATTGAATGAATATATATATTCACACCGCGGCCGGGAGTATAACGATTCCAGTGCAACGCCCGGAGGATTATTTTGATCCCAAAAAGGGGTTTTCTTCTAATGGCTGCCAGGAGTAGAAAGCGCTAGCAGGTGCTGCTGGACAGCAGGACGCCTGTAAGTCATAGCTCCCATCTCACGCGCTTTGCTTTCTGCTGCTGCCGCGCGCCCGGCGCCCGTCTGCCCCGGCGAAGGTGGGTTGCGGCGTGGTTCAGTAATGTCCAGTCTGTCCCTCCAGGCAAGTACTTCTGGAGACTGACTCGCAATAAGCACTTGGTCTCCCTCCAGCCGGCTCAGATCCACCGTTTCTGGCGGGGCTTGCCGCTCAACCTGGACAGCCTGGACGCGGTCTACGAGAGAACCAGCGACCACAAGATCGTCTTCTTCAAAGGTGAGAGCGAGCGCAGTGCCGGGGGCAGCGCCTGTGTCTCCTCGGTATCGATCCCGGCGCCGAGGTGCCTTGGCAGAGTTTTGCCCTCTCCGGCAGGGAGGAGACGGCAGCGTCAGCCGCTGAGCATCTCCAGGGCAGGTCCCAGAGCTGCGGTCCACGAGCGAGGCCGGGAGAAACCAGCTTGTAGGGAGGGCAGGCAAAAAGTAGCAGTCATGTTCCCCAGAAAATGAGGGAGAAGTCATTGAAGAAGAACTTCAGCCAGACCTAACTGAATTCTTTGCTTTTCGAGAAGGAAATAAAAGCAGGAACCACCCACGCGCACACTTTACAGGTTTTGCGTTCCTTCTTCAGCCTTTTCTCTTTTTAGTATTAGTTGCTGAGAAGCAAAGAAGCTGCAGAGGGGACAAAAATGAAAACCTGAAGAGCTTGGTTTTGCTAATTACATTTCTGTTACTGTTGTGGTTTTTTTTTTTTTTTCCTTAAAATAAGTGTTATAATCCTCCCTCTTTTTAAAAACATCTCGCAAGTTTTTCAGAAGAACTGGAGGGAAAGGGATTAGCTCGTGACTCCTACACAAAGATCGAGGTCCCCAGCACATCGTCCGTCCGTGCTGGCTGGACATGACCCGTGTGCTGAATGCCACCCAAGCCCCCAGCAGGCACCAGCTCTTTCTAAAGGTCATGTGCGTGAAGAGCTAAATACATCCCAGCCCGCCGTGCTCCCCGGCTTTTTGTCTCCCGACCCTTCTGCTCCGAGCATGGTGCAATTATCAGTCTCAGAAGCGCTGAACCACGCACTTCTGAGAGCAATAATTTGCTTTCAGTTCCTCCAGCCTCGCTGGAGGAACAGCTGACGTCCCACGCAAGCCTCCGCACTTGCAGAAGCGTTTCCCAAGCGCAGCCAAAGCCCTTCCAGGCACCGCAGAGCCGTGCCGAGCCCTGCGTCTCCCCAAGGAACCACACACAAAAAGCTGCCTCGGGCAGCCCGCCCCGCTCTGCCTTTTTTCCACTAATCCGGGGGGAATGGGACCAGCTGGAGCGCGGCAGCCCTTACGCCTGGCACCAGACCCTCCCGGTCAGGTCTGCGGACCGCAGCGGCATTCGCTCGCTTCCTTCCCTTCTTCCCTTCTCTTCCTGCTGGGGACGGACAGAGCCCCAGCAGCTCAGGTCCGGGAGCTTGTGTTGACTAAATTTGGCTTATAAGGCCAAAATTACAGCTCTGCCACAGCCGGGGTCTTGCCCCTGCAAGGCACAGCACTCCATGGCCACGCGTGATGTGTGTGTTAGTCCTGCCTAGCTCCTAAGATTAAACTCAAGATTTTCTTTCCAGCTGTAAAATACTAGCTCGTTCTCTCCCTCCAGCGCTGTTTCATCGATCGCTGGACAGAAACCAAAGCACACAAATTACCCCGGTCCCTGAGGTCCTGCTGCTGATACATGGGCATGTGTTTAAGTGCCTCTTCAGGTTTTCTAGAAAACCGAGGGAGGAAAAAGCCTGATCTTTAAAATAGGTTGGGTGATGCCCACAAGGACACTGCAGGTTCACGACGAGACGTTGGACAGACAGAAAGACTGCGCAGGTGGTTAGAGCACCACGTAGGAATTGAGAGATCTGGGTGGGTTTTCTTGTTCTGATTCCTCATATGACGGTGGGCCAGTCATGTTGTGCTTTGTTTTTATCTGAAAAAAAACCCATATTGTCATTTCTGTCCTGCCCAGGGTAGGGCCAGAGCAGGGGGGTGGTGGTGCCTATCTCCTTAGGTCCCTTAAAATTCACAGGTCCTTCAGCCCAGTCGGGTCTAAAAAGCGTGGTGATTTCTCTTCCAAAGCAGGACCACGCTTTGGTTCTCTGGGGCCGAATAGCAGGCAGACAAGTGCTCAGTTTGGCCGCAGCAGCTGCGTGTAACTTTCTATTTCTTGCAGCTGGATATCGGGCAGAAATCAAAGGGGCAGAAAACCAAATGCCCCCACCACATACATAAAAGCAACAACCGTACTAACGCTGTCAGCGTGCTCGTGTCCCGGGACCGTCACGCCTGCTGCAGTTCAGGAGGGAAGCAGGGCTACGCTCCATGGAGAGCCTGACACACAAAAAAGCAACAACTCAAAGATCGAGCTTCCCCACCGGGCTGCTGCGTCCCATCCCCATCCTTCAACGCCGAGAGCTCGGTCCTGAGGACTGTCACGGCAGCAGGCAGTGAAACATCAGCTCGTCTGTGGGGCAATACTGGTTTCAGCTGTGAAACGAATGTGATTTTGCTTCTTTCCTTTCCACAGGAGACAGGTACTGGGTCTTCAAAGACAATAACGTGGAGGAAGGATACCCACGGCCGATCTCGGACTTCGGTTTGCCGCCGGGAGGAATCGACGCCGCTTTCTCCTGGGCCCACAATGACAAGACTTATTTCTTTAAGGACAATCTCTACTGGCGCTACGATGACCACGAGCGGAGGATGGATCCCGGCTACCCTTCAGAGACCATCCTGTGGAAGGGAATACCGAGCCCTTTAGATGATGCCATGAGGTGGTCAGACGGTGAGTCCATACACCGGTTCACAAAATGTAAGGGGGAAAAAAAAAAAAAAAAATCAATGCTTCATTTGCACTTGAGCTATAGCCCCTTCTACCGTGCCTGCTGACATAAACTGCTCAGCCCCAGATGGGAAGACGCTTTCTGAAAGCTGAAGAGGGAGGTGGGCTTCCAGCCAGGGCTCCCCGCACCGCACGCTGCCCGCTACAAGACGTTGTCATTTCAAGCAGGCAACAAAAATATCCTGGGGACTTAATAATTCGATTTTATTAAAAGAACACAGTTGATGTTGTTTTGCAGTGCTTTTTATCCTAATACGTGCTGGTTTGCTCTTCACTGAATTTGTTGTCATTGAATTTTTAGCTAGATACATGAGGATGTGACCAGAAAATGTTTTATAAGATGTTTTCCCCAGAGTTACGACTCATTTTCTGAGGATGAGATTTCTCAGTGGTTTCTTCGCCCTGAAAAGACCACAAAATTTTTGTCACCGGGGATGTTTAAAACCAGCCATTCGCTCACAGCAAAGCGGCACTTCCAGGTTTTATTTACCGGTGACCTAACAGTGTGATAGCAACCAATAAACCAGGCAGAGGGGAGGGACATTTCCATAGAATCATCGAATCGTTTAGGTTGGAAAAGACCTTTAAGATCATCCAGTCCAACCATTAACCTACACTGCCAAGTCCACACTAAACCAATCAAGGGTAGACTAGACTAAACCATGTCCCCAAGTGCCACCTCTGCCCGTTTTTTGAACCCCTCCAGGGATGGGGACTCCCCCACCTCTCTGGGCAGCCTGTTCCAATGCTTGACCACCCTTTCCGTAAAGAAATTTTTCCTAATTTCCAGAGACTTTTCAAACTGAATCCCTGAAGCTGTTGACAGCCACCGGCCATCCATGTGGGTAGGAGTCCTCCATGAGCATGGGACATGCTTAGAAAATTCACAGCCTCCCAGTTCAGAGTGGGAAAAAACCCGCACCCGAGAGCAGAAGGTTCCCAGGGCCCTGCCAGGCTGAGGTTATTTATCTGAGCCCAGGGATCGCAGCACGCACCTCAGGTTGTTAGCAGGTGGGTGAGGTCTTCTGCAGCCCTACCATGCCCTGTTCCAAGGCTGTGCGCTGACGGCCACCGAGAGACGTGCATGGTGTCCAGCGGCGCATTTACTGCGGCTTTTACCCTGCACCCTTGGTACCAGGGGGATGCGTCTGCTCTAGGACCCACCATAGGCGAGGCGACATCTCACCACCCGCCGCCCATCTGTCTGGTGGCTCCTGCCTGGTGCGAGAGGTCCCAGCTGGGCATAACATCATAGAATCATGGAATGCTTTGGGTTGGAAGGGACCTTTAGAGCCCACCCAGCCCAACCCCTGCAGTGACAGGGACAGCTTTAACCAGAGCAGGGTGCTCAGAGCCCCGTCCAACCTGGCCTGGGATGTTGCGCCCATCGCCGCTCATCTTGCCTTTGTCAGGGTGCTCAGAGCCCCATCCAACCTGGCCTGGGATGTTGCGCCCATCACCGCTCATCTTGCCTTTGGCTTTCGGTCTCTTTGCAGGTGCAAGTTACTTCTTCAGGGGCAAGGAGTACTGGAAGGTGCTGGACAGTGACCTGGAGTCCCAGCCCGGTTATCCCCAGTCCATCGCTAGAGACTGGCTGGTGTGCAGCGACATGCAGTCCGACTCCCCGGAAGCAGCCGGGAGCAGCAGGACTGGGGCACGCTCCAAACCGGGGCAGCACGACGAGAGCCGCTCGGAAAACGGCTACGAGGTCTGCTCCTGCACCTCGGCTTCCCCCGCCCTCCGGGCTTGCCCTGTGCTCAGACTGTCGGCCGGCCTCGCGCTGACGAGCGTGTGGACAGCAGCGCTGATGCGTGCGGCTCTATGACGTTGACATCGCATCCCCCAGGCCAGACAACGCCACGGTGCTCCGGGGAGGGGAGGCGGGTACCATCCAGTGATGCTGCTACCTGTTGCGAGCAGAAAAACATTCCTAGGGACATGCCGGTGAAGGGTTTGAATTCTCCATGAGAAATGAACAGTGGATTTTGGGTGGGTTTTTTTCTTTTTCATTTTAGTTTAAAGGCTTAAGAACAGATTTTGAGTTCTGCACCTCCTTATTCCCCCATCCAGTTAAAGGTGAGAGCAGCCTAACGTTGAATTTAGAAATGTTCCGTAGAGATATATTGCTCTGGGTGTTTAAACACGAAAAGTGAGGGAGGGGAGAGCTCCCGTGGTTGAACGGGAACGGAAGAGATGCTGCTGAGCCAGACGGCACCATCCCGGAGGAAAGGCGGCAAGGCTATAGGCGAGAGGCGGTGGTTATATGCCGACACCATGTACGCATCCTATTGGATGTACGAGGTGGAAAGGAACTTTGACTCCGCTAAGATTAACTGCGAGGTGATCGTTTTACTGTCAAACCTGCTGTGGTCACTGATGTCTCGGTAACCTGTATCAGTTTCTACGGATGAGAAACACCTTTGCCTTTCAGAAGGCGGTGGGGCTTATCTTTGTACCCGAGCCATTTGAATTTAACGATTTCTCTAATAAACCTTGGCTGCCTACGCAGAGATCTCCCGGTCCTCTGCCAGACCGAGCCCGCTGCCCGCAGCCCGCAGCAAGGTGCTGACTCGGGAGCAACCTTGCCGAGCGCAGCCACCCGATGTGCGAGCCCGGCCACCGCCCCAGCCTGAGCCCTGCACGGGAACTGCTTGGAGCGCCCGTTTCGGGTGGTTTAACCTTTTTGGGAGGGATGAAGATGAGTCGCGTTCATTTGTGACTCTGTCGTACCTGGCCACGCTGCAGAGGATGGGCTGGAGGGAGGAGGGATGCTGCGCTGTCAGCCTCAAACTTTTCTCGATGCCTCTGTGTGGTGGTTCAGCCCCAGGCAGCAGCTCAGCACCACGCAGCCAGCGCTCGCTGCCCCTGCCCCGGTGGGGTGGGGAGAGAATCGGAGGAGTGAGAGTGAGAAACACTCCTGGGGTGGGATAAGAACAGTTTAATAATTGAAATAAAGTAAAATAGTAGTGATAATAATAACAATATAATAATGATAATAATAATAACAGTATCCAAAGCAAGTGATGCCCAATGCAATTGCTCACCACCCGCCGACCGATGCCCAGCCCGTTCCCGAGCAGCGATCGCTGCTCCCCGGCCAACCCCCCCAGTTTCTATACTGCCCATGACGCCGTATGGGATGGAATGGCCCTTGGGG